GCACCTTTGGATAAAGTAGAAAAAGGCACATCTCCTGGGAAGGATTAGCAAATCTTCTCCTGCACGGTACAACTTAACATAACTCCACGTGGACACGCTGATCTTAAAACAATAATATTTATGGAGGAAAAAATCATCCTGTGAATATACAGGCAGGATCACATGGTGTGACAGTTTGAGTCAGGGCACCTCACTTCAAATCCTACCTCCTTCACTCACTGTTTGATCCCAGGCAAGTGGCTTAACCACTAGAGGCCTCGGTTTCCTCATAGGGATAGTAATAGTAACAGCTATGTATCTCATAGAGCCATTGTCAGCAGTGAATAATTACAGAAGGCTCTTAGGACAGTGCCTGGTACACAGTGGACACTCAACAAAAGCTTTTTTCCCCAATAAAAATTATATCAATGCTACCAATATCTTTGTGCCCATTTTAAAATAATTTTTAAAAATTACTCCTATGAAAAACATTGCCAAGAATGGGATTACTGCATTAAAATGTGTAAACAAGGATGTAAACTTGAACTCTTCATGTAAACCCACTAAGTATATAAGTGCTAAATAGTAGATGATGACTATTCAAGAGATGCCATTCCATTAAGATAATAATTTCAGGAAAAGCAATGAAATTTGTTCTAGGCAATCTTAGAAAGAAATATAAGTAAGAGTTAATAATATATTAAAGGAAATGTAGATCTTGGTTTCCTCACCACAGTGGGAAGGTCAGTTTGGATGGCATACAAGGTCTACCCAGCTTGGTATGTCTATGACCCAATCTCTCCATTAGACAGCCCTCCACCCCTCTGTACCAGAAATGACAGGTTCTCCCCTCTTTCCCAAACATGTCTGATCTTTGATGTAAGGTTTTGCTCGTCGTATGCTCATTCACTTTACCTCTACCTGGAGCAGCCTTTCCTCACCCTGAGGAGCAACTCTGGCCATCACCCAAAGTCCCAGTTTACATCTGATCCCTTCCTCCAGGCTTTTAGTGCTCCACCCTTTTCCTTTAAAATTTGGAACACTGATTTATTATCTATGGCACTGCTTACTTAAGTCTAATAGCATTAACCATGACATTCTTAAAAAATAAGACCCGTGTCTTCAGAAATCTAGTGTGCACATATATGCATATACAGCATCATTTAATTTAGCTAGATCTGTAGCCACGTTAACAGAAATCTATCTTAACTGAAGGTACACCAGATTCTAAGCTTATGAAACAGCACAATCCAGGTTTCTACTGCATCAACAAACATTTTTTACAACTGCCAACCTGACAAATTTATGATAATACAGAATCTAATAGTTGATACAACTCCTGGTGAGTGTCATGTCATAAAATACTTAATCTGTTTTAAATAGCTAAAAAATAAAGTCTAAATACGAAGAGAGTGTGCATCATTCTAATTTTGTTTAAAAACAGAGCGTTTTTCCTTTTCTTTAATCAAGCCCCATTTATAAAGTGTATGCTTTTTTTAATGTATTTATTTATTTTTATTTTTGGCTGCGCTGGGTCTTTCATTGCTGCGTGCAGGCCTTCTCCAGCTGCGGAGAGTCGGGGCCACTCTTCATTGCGGTGCACGGGCTTCTCATTGCGGTGGCTTCTCTTGTTGCGGAGCACAGGTTCCAGGCACGTGGGCTTCAGTAGCTGTGGCATGCGGGCTCAGTATTTGTGGCTCGTGGGCTCTAGAGTGCAGACTCAGCAGTTGTGGCACACGGCTTGGTTGCTCCGCGGCATATGGGATCTTCCTGGACCAGGGCCCAAACCCGCATCCCCTGCATTGGCAGGGGAATTCTCAACCACTGCGCCACCAGGGAAGTCCCTATAAAGTGTTTTAAATTTCTTGACAACTCATTTCTTCCTCCAAGTTTAACCAACCCTTTTGCTAAGTGATATAGGGTAAGATTACTGAATCTACATTATTATCTGGAGATAGAGATGAGGGAACTAAAATCTGTATTTGGATACAGAAAATATATTCTAATCAAAAAAAGCTACCAGAATAAATCATCTCTACCGAACGTGACTTAGTATCCTTTTATCCATCAAAAAAAAGAACTGTAATAATATTTAAACTGCAATATAGCCTAAAGGTTCAAATTCTTAAAAGGAAGAATCATAATATGATAACAGAGTGTATCAAAGTTTAAAAGGCACTGGGCTTTACCCCAGTAGAGTGATGGCATGAAGCCATGCAGTTATCATATTATAACACGGAGAGCAGCTGCCATACTCTGTCGCCATGCACTATAAGCTCTCTTGGGCGACATTTTCACCCATGACTTATGAGATTTTCCAGTTTGAAGCCTCAACATCAGTGTGTAAACTGAAGCGACTTCAGAGGCAACAGGGAGAGAAGCAGCTCTGGTGGCATTTGAAATGAAGATACTCAGGCAGAGAAACCAATCTGGCGGTGATGCAAGAGATGAATGGAACCGGAGGAAGAGGAGACAGGAGGACAAGGCGATCAGAAATGAGATGGCAGGGCTTCCCTGGTGGCGCAGTGGTTCAGAGTCTGCCTGCCGATGCAGGGGACATGGGTTCGTGCCCCGGTTCGGGAAGATCCCACATGCCGCAGAGAGGCTAGGCCCGTGAGCCATGGCCGCTGAGCCTGCGCGTCCGGAGCCTGTGCTCCGCAACGGGAGAGGCCACAACAGTGAGAGGCCCGCATACCGCAAAAAAAAAAAAAAAAAAAAAAAGAAAAAAAAAAGAAATGAGATGGCAGAATGAAAAAGAAGGCCAACAAAAAGAAAGCCAAAAAGTAGAGGCAGCAGAGGAAGAAAGGGGAGAGAGGAAGGAGGAGGAAGAGAAAAAGACATAAACAATCTTTGGGTCTATGAAAAGCAACATGTACCGTGCGCCTGCACTTCTGATTGCTGTTTTTATAAGTCAGAGATGCTATCAAATGACCAAATACAGAATTAGAATCCATGCACACAAGAGCTGGAATATCACTGATATACATCATTTAAAAACAAAAACAAAAATTCAAGCTTCAAGTCAACAAGTGGCATGAAAGTTACTGCCATATTGGTTTTCTTGAGAGCCCATGATGGAGAGCCAAAGGAATTTCAAATGTTCCACTCCTGAGCTTGAAACTGTTTAAGCACAAAAAAGAATGTGACGCTCGTTTCTTAGTTGGTCATCTTCGAGCACACCTGCCAATCAGAAATGTCACAACGGTTCCCAAGTTTCTCAAAACAGCATTTCCATCGTGTCTTTCTCTCTATACTTGGGGTCTCTCTTTTTTTTTTTTTTTTCCAATTTAAAATGAATTCTAGCAGGATCTACCTTAAGCCAACCGTGAGGCAAATCAGGCTGGACACTGATGTCCCTATACCGTGCTGTCCATGGTCCAGGATCACAACTCTCCTTGGATGTGAGATGTTTCCCCTATTTTTCCGACTCTTCCACTCTACCAGAAACAATGTACTCTCAATAACAGTCTTCAGTAATTTGAAAATAGGTGTAATGAGTTATTAATCAGAAAAATGACTTCCGGTTAAGATGGTAGCTGGCCAATATATGATACTTTCCAGCTAAGAAATGAGGAGAAAGCAAGTTAAAACGTACTTTGTCAATTAAATTCCTTACACATAATTATAGCTAAACTAATGGTAAGAGTTTCCATTCGAGTTACAAGGTGATTAGGGAATTCTTCAGGCACAACTGGCCTTCCTTCAACTTCTCTATCAGCCCACATATTCCTCTGTCCACATGTAAAGTTCACACAGACCAGCAGGTTATATAGCCTTTGACCTATTGTAAATACTGTGAGATGAACTGAAACATGGTTCTTCATTATTACTGAATCATTCCAAAGCCGTTAATATTCTTGGCATTTCCAAACAAGGAAAATCTGAATGCTTGATAGGAAGCATCGCATTCAAACAACAAATCCCGGAGCAGAACTGAACTTCATTCTAAAGACTTTAACTTTCCATGACCAAAACCCAAGTCAAAGGGACAAGAGGTATCAAATACAAAAGGTCTGAAAGCCACGTATTCACTGATCACAACCTGACACATGGACTTTACTACAATGACCCAACACCCATGGTGATCTTAAATAGTGACAGGAACAACGTCCACTTGCCAGATCAAGCCTGAAATAAGCGAGATAAAATTGTCAAGCTACAAAGAGTAAGCAACATTTGGGAATGAGGGGCTTATTAATAAAAATTTTTATTAAACTCCTGGAACATAGAAACCTTTATGAACTTGCTCTAGATGATAACTCTGTCTTGTCGGGCAGGAGTTTTGATTTACCCGCCCATGTATACTAACTCTGAGTACAGTGGCTAGCAAATTACAGAAGCTCAGAAGTATTTTTCAGTGAATGATTGTAGGTCTGAGTGAATGAACAATCTCAGTGATATTACACCCAGGTGTTCATCCCCCATCCTAACTTAGCATGGTGGTATTTCAGCCAGAAAAGACAGGAGAAGGAATCCCTAGGAGGAAATAGAAGGTTGACAATGGAGAGCACACCCAACCAAAGGAGCACTGCTTAAAGGCATCTCCTTAATAAAAATGATCACTACAGCATTCTGTACCTATGTCTAAGAACACATCCCACAGAACACACACCTGAGCTATCACGGGAGGAAGGGAAGAGAGGAATCGGGTTTAAACAGCATCAAGTTCTTGAGATCCTCAGATCTCGATGTGCTGCCTCTACCCAGGAAACAGAGGCCAAGTCAGTATATCAGCACCTTCCTGGTTTCAGAAACTTATCTGCCTATGGAGACTACTCTGTTGTGTCATTTGGCAGCAGAATTTTTTTTTTTCTCTGCTGAATGGAGTGGTATCTGCAGAAAGCTATTGAAAGTGACTGAGTATTGCCCCAGTGATGATTCCATGAACTCCCAAAGAAACCTGCATTTGCAATCACTGACAACACAAGTGCTGTGTGGCAAGATACAGCAATACATGGCCCAGGATCCTCAACAGAAGCTGTCCTGACATATCTGCCTCTTTCCTGAATCAAGGCACTCACCGCAGTGCAGGATGTCTTCCCGAGCGGGATACACTGTTGCCCACGGGGGAAGGCAGGTTGCTCCCTCTGTGCAGGTCCTCGATGGACCGACTCCAGGGCTTTGATTTGTCCACTGAGCTCTCCACAGTGCTTTCCACACTTTCAAAGTCAAAACTAAAACAAAAGAGAAATGCCACTAAAGACTTAATTCACATTCACACAAATACATGGATGTGCAAAACTCACTCCTTCCAACTCCTTCTGCACCTTAATATGGGTAGTTTTTGCAAACAAAGAAACCTGAAAATGGAATACAAACGAATTTTCATGGACTGAGCGTTAGCTTTGAAAATACAGAATGACAAATAGGGATGTGTTATTCGTATCTTATTATAAGGCTTGCTGACTTACCGATTACTAATGAGCTATGGTGGGATGGGGAAGAAAGATCTCAGAGCTGTCTTCATTTTGCTTTTAACAAGTCAATATGTTAGGCTTATACTAATTTATTCCTCTCCGTCAAGTTTCACTGAGCATTTTCGCCTAGTGTGTTGGCAAGTGTACCTTTCCAACCATATGTGATACATTACTTGCAAAGTTATGAATTTGCTTTGATTTTGGAATCTCTTCCCAATGTGGTGCTCTTTAAAGTAGGGCTGTTGTTTCTCTGACATTTTTTGAGGTTATTACTCATGTTCACCATGTTAGAATAAATGGCTAGTTAAATTGCTCATTCTTGTATAATTTTAGGAACTTTTAAACAGACAGGCCTTTGTGTTCTGTGCATTCTTCCCCTTCCAAAGTCAGTAGCTCTGCTTTCTCAAAAATACATTTTATCAACTGCTTCAACCCATAGTTCCATCAAGCAACACCTGATCGGACAGAAAATAAACACAATGCAGCCATAATTAATAGCATCTGGAAGATATTGGAGGCTATCATGGGAAAAAAACATCAACAACACATATTGGAAATAGCAAGTATGACTTTTTATACAAGCATGACTGCCAAAATTAAATATTTGGTTAGAACTACCATCTGTAAACTAGGTTATGCTCTCCATTTATTAAATTGTAATCCAGATAACAGAGACGGATGCACAAAGTCATTGAATGGGTCTAACAATTCTGTCATTCCTTAGGATACAGGAAGCAGTGAACAGAAAAGGGGTGGAATTGAGGAATCTAACAGATCCTTAAGGACTAAAAATAGAAGTCTATAACTGACACTGGAAAAGGTAAACCTAGGGGGCATCCCAAGGTCACTCATGTCATTACGACTCCCACCAAGCCACTCTGCAGCCCCCATATGTTCAGTTGTTCAGCATCCTTATGCTCCTCTCAGCTCATCTCCGACTCTCACTGAGCAGAAAAAGAAACACATACCTTGGTGAAAGCTCCCATTTTAGGGAAGGCACATGAGTCTGTTATTTCACATTACATGAGCTAGAAAATTGTCACATGCTGAGGAATAGTAAGAAATTTTTTTCAGCCCATTTAGTTTCAAGAAAGTATGTACATAAATTATGTATCTATATATAATTTTTCATGTAATTAAAGTATAAAATTTCATGTAATTAATTTTGTAAGGAAAAAAAAAATAAAACTATTAAGCAAAGAATGTAAAGCTAATGCCCACCCCACCCCCAAAAAAGTAGAAGATTAGGAACCAAAAGCTCTGAGTTCTGATCTTTTGTTGTCTTTGCTCTTGGCCTGCAGACCAGAAGAATTCCCTCAGAGTAGCACTACCTTTTCCCATTGGTCTCGTGTATAGGTGCATTTGGGAAAGCTCGTTTACAAGTTCTATCGTGATGGGGTAAGGGGTTAATTACAGCAAACATATTACAAACAGCATGCAATTCTTTCCCATTATTCCTGTAGTTTCTTAGCCCTTCCTTAATTCCTCAATAAATATTCTTCCAGATTTTAAAATATGCAACAGGATAATATTCCTATTCTGTTTTGTCATATAATATAAATTGTAAGGGAGATTAGCAGTTTTCAATGTAATGGAGGTAGATAAGGAACAACGTTTGGAAGAGCATGCTACAAAAACTAGAATTATAAGGAAGATAAGAACTTATCTACTGGGTTTTCTTATTATATTCCATATCATATATGAGTTATCAAAACTGAAACTCATCAGACCAGTTTCAGTTAACACTTTACTTTCTGCAGCTATAAGGTAGGAATAATTATAGTTTTCTCTTCACAAATTCTCCAGGAAGCGATGAGGATTTTAAGATAACATCTGGTTAGATCTTAAAGTGGGGCAATATAAAAAACAAGTTCCTGCTTTGAAAAGAAGAGTTGAGAAGAAAAAAAAACACCACCTAGGCTGAAATGTCTTCCAATCAAATTAAAAATACAGTATTGGGACTTCCCTGGTGGTGCAGTGGTTAAGAATCTGCCTGCCAATGCAGGGGACATGGGTTTGATCCCTGGTCCGGGAAGATCCCACATGCTGCGGAGCAACTAAGCCCGTGCGCTACAACTACTAAGCCTGCGCTCTAGAGCCCGCGAGCCACAACTACTGAGCCTGCGCACCCTATAGTCCATGCACCGCAACTACGGAGCCCACGCACCACAACTACTGAAGCCCATGCGCTCTAGAGCCCGCATGCTGCAACTACTGAAGGCTGCGTGCCTAGAGTCCGTGTTCCACAGCAAGGGAAGCCACGGCAGTGAGAAGTCCGTGCGGAACAATGAAGATCCATCACAGCCAAAAAAATAAATAAAAATTTTAAGAATACAGTATTATTTCCTCAATCTGTGTATGTGAGAGTGGATACTGGAATAGTTTTTGATTAAAGAGGAAATGTGGAGAAGAGAACGTCTCATTCAAATGTACACTTTCCTTTCCTGTTGTAAATCTTTCCAGAAGCCTAGCAAATGAGAAAACTTTATGAATTAACAAAGGAAAGGTGAAATAAGTAAAAAATTTTTTCCTGCTCTGCCCTATTTTTTCCCCTTCCCCCTATGAAGGGGAAGTCAAAACAATACAAATACATATAAATTAAAAAGGGAAAACCTCTTGCTGACTCCACTTCCTCCACTCCCACTGTGTTTGGTACCTACTTCTGCAATCATTTTCTCTGTATTTACTAACACCTACAAATATGCATATACAAGTTTGTTTTTTTTTTTAATAAAAAGGGAGTCACTCCTCTGTACTTTGCTTTATTCGCTCAACAATATATCATATACCTCTTCCAATAATTGCTACAGTATTCTACCATATGGATATACATAACTTGAGCACTAAAGAAAGCACTTCTTTTTGAAATAAGCACTCCTCTAAGGGTGGTTTTACTCCCCTGTTTTATTTCTGCCTTAAAAGCATTTCTAACAACAATTATGAGATTTGCTTTTAGTTACTTGAATATAAACAAACCTCCTTAAACCTTACCACATCTGCTTCTGGGTGTCTCCCCTCAGTGTGGTACCTAATTTTACCACTGAGATGCAACTTCTGTGACCACATAAAATTTAAAAGGAAACAAGCCAAGTTTTACTTACGTTACTGCGTATTGTGCAAATGACAGATATTCTACTAGAACATCAAGACCTTTATTTTCTTCATTCAGAAACTCTCTGACCCATCTGTTCAAAAAAAAAAAAAAATCATTGGCAAAGTTCATCGCATGCTCTACCATGAAAAGGACACAGTGAAAACTTGTTTTTTTCCACCAGAAACATTCACCGCCTGAAAGGAACTATGGAGTAAGGCCTAGACTATAACACATGAGGTAGGAGCTTTTAAATATGGCAACTAAGAAAACCATAATATTTCAGCATGAGCGACAAGGGGTCAAAAAGTGTACGAGTTTCTTCCTTGTATTTTACTGCTTAGGAGACTGACGATAACCTGTAAGGAACTTTCTAAAACAGGAACTTGCTAACTGTCCTTTTCTTCCACCACAATTGATCTGGAGCCTGCTTGTTTAAGGAGCCAAGACTGCACGGGGAATCAGGCAGACTAGGGACATGACAACATAACCACTGAAATCCAGGCCAGATTCCAAATCCACATTCAACTCCTTCTTGGCACAGTGAGCTGTAGAAAACACTCAACTAGCCAATGAGAGACCCGTGTTTATGGGCTTCTGGAAATTCAATAGGGATAATGACTAACTTAATTTTTTCCATGAATGTTAAAACCTTTTAAAAAGTCGCAGGCACCACGCACCATCATCAAAGCCAAGGCGTGACAAATACCAAGCTTCTTAAAATTCATTTTAAAATGATACCACTTTGCATTTGAATGGTGGATCCGTAAGCAGTTCACTGAGAATGTTTACACGTTTTTATTTGTTCATAACAACGCCTAGAAGATGGAGCAGAGTGGTCAGGTACTGAGGATAAACACCTGTTACCGCATGTCACAGATTTCCTCCAGGACATCCACCTTCAAAGAACATGTGATACCCCATCAAGCCTTCACTGGGTTGGAAACTCCAAGAAGTAATAAGTAAAAAGCTGTGCTATTCTATCACAGAAGTGATCTTGGGGTACATCTGCCAACAGCAATGCAAAGTGGTTGCCTTCCTCCAGGAATACCAAGCCAACAAGGTCCACCAGCTATGCACACGATGGCTCCTACAGAAACCAGTTTTGACAGCTATTAGAACAACAGTGGGACAATTCTACCGTGTGTCTTTAAGGATGAGCAGTCCCTTGAGGTTTCTGTCTTAAAGGAAGGAAAAAAACCTGGTGGATTCAGAACGCCTATTTTTAAAATTTTGTTTTTAGGGGGATTTTGTGGTGGTTGTTTGTTTTATCCTCCAGCTCATCCTTTCTTCTAGTCCTATCATCGGCATAATGTAACCTCAGGTCTTCAGGCAGTTCCAGAAGACAGTAAGGTGGAAAAAGTAGATAGCTTGCCTCGTACTCCCCCCCAAGTGCCTCAGGCAGGCTGTGACAAAAAGTATGCACTCAACATAGCCACGTGTAAGTATATAACATTTAATCTAAAAGAGACCTAGGGAATTCCCTGGCCATCCAGTGGTTAGGACGCCATGCTCTCACGGCCAAGGGCCCAGGTTCAATCCCTGGTCGGGGAACTAAGAACCCACAAACCGCGTGCCCCCCCCCCCAAGAAAAAGAGAGAGACCTAAAGTGGAAACACTGGCAAAGAAAACACTACCTTTTGGGTCTCACGAAGTGGCTTTGTTATGAGAGCTGACCAGAACTAAGGGGATGGCTATTAGGAGAGGTTGAAGTTTCATTTCACCACCACCACATACACGCTCTCACAGCATCTACTTCTAGATCCTTATTTTCATTTGATTTATTTTAAATTACTCCCAATATGGCTAGGTCTCAGAAGACATTGGACATTTTTAAGTGCTGATAATTAAAAGCTTAGAAATGGTAAAAAAAAAAAAATTCCCTTTTAAAACTGGTAGGAGACTGAAGAAAGCTAGAACTTACTATCAAATCAGATGACTAGCTGTGCTCTTGAGATTCAAGCCTCTTAGCCTCTCTGAGGCCTCTCCATTGGTCAGATCTATGGGTTCTGACTGCATAATTTAAACTAGCCCTCCTTGGTGGCTGCACAAAACCACAGGGTCCAGATATTTCAGAGCAATCTTGGTTTCACATATTCTGTCTCAGTGACCCATAAGAACACTCTAATTTAGGAGTTGAGAAAAACAGCCATTATAGTTCCTTTTGGTTGATTTTCCAGACACTGCCTCTAAAATGTAGAGATGGTCCACGACATCCTAAGGACCTGCTAGCACCTTCATCTCACTTAGTTTAGCCACAAACTGGAGAGAAGGCAAATGACTCATGGATATTAAAAAAAAAAAGAGGAAGGAAGGAAGAAAGAAATGGTGGGAAATAGCCAAATACAGTCAGAGCTACATTTCTCTTCACTCAAAGTACTAATATGCATATATTTTCATGCAGTGATAAAACCTATTAATTGGCTTTTACTTCAATTTAGCACCCTTATCAGTGCCCCTGCCCTGACTTGCTGACTTTGAGTGAAAGCGCTTTAAAAATAAATTTCAGGACTTCCCTGGTGGAGCAGTGGTTAAGAATCTGCCTGCCAATGCAGGGAACACGGGTTCGAGCCCTGGTCTGGGAATATGCCACATGCCGTGGAGCAACTAAGCCCGTGCGCCACAACTACTAAGCCTGCGCTCTAGAGCCCGTGCTCCGCAACAAGAGAAGCCACTGCAGTGAGAAGCCCGCGCACCGCAACAAAGACCCAACACAGCCAAAAATAAAATAAATAAAACCTTACTTTTAAATTAATTAATTCATTAATTAATTTCAAAGTGAAAGTCAGGAGCCAGCTGCTCCGTTCCTAAAAAGTCAGCGACAGTGTAACACGTCCTGCCTTTGAGAGGTTTAATTTCATTTTTAACCTCTTTTTCTAAACTGTGAGATCTTCCCTGGGTCTCTGTTCTGGCCCAAACCCCTGCAGGTGGTTTAGGAAAGAATAAGATAGAGATCCATCACAGCTGACTACCTTACCCCCTTTGTCAAGTGGTATCAGGTTAGTAAAGTCATCTCAGCAAAAAGGCTATGGATTACAAGAAAAGAACAGCCTTCTCTTTTCTTCTTGTCCTCTCAATCCCTATCCCTTCTTCACTTAGGATATTCTGTATAGGAGAAAACAGAGGCGAGAGTGAACTTCTGTGGAAATCAAATAGGTAGAGATGAAAAAAGGGCAACTTTCCAAGCAGTATGTTTAATCTAAAGGCATAAAAAAATGGATGCCCCATTCTGCAGATTTATGTACATGATCATGACATATCATAAATGGAGGGTTCCTACAGTAAATTTCCATTTTCACCTCTGCGCATGCTACACACGCTTTAATATAGTGCCAATATGCAAACAGTTTCAAATTGGGTGATTACAAGTTTTGGAAAGTAGAATTATTTCTGACTCTGACAGCATGCATCACTTACTGAGTACCTCACAGATTCGATGTAATTACCATATGTTGTAAATTTGAATTTACGCAAATTCCAAATCAACTGCTTAGGAGCTGGAAGGCACAGTGATAATGAGAAATAGCTCTGGAAAAAAAAACTTATTCAAGGAAGGGCTCTAAATGCAAGTGCCAAGAGTTACTGTTTTACTGTAGACAGGTCAAAGCTTTGTTTCCAAATTGCTATTGTCTTCTCTCTGCCTCCCAAATCTCAGAACCTCGTTGTTCTCATCTAGAAAATAAAGTCTCAAAGGACATTACTGGCTTTAAATTTCTAAGATCAAACAACAAAACAGACCCGAGACACACAAGATGAATGGACAGATGGTGAATTCCCTCTGCCAGTTTCCTTTAGAGGGATACTACAGGCATCCGGTAGGAACTGCAGTTGCTGACAAATCATGAAAAAAAAATCACAAGAAGCGAGAGATAGAAGGTAAACGTCACTCAGATCCATCATCAGCTACCAAATCTATGCTGTGAGACAGCATCTCAAACTGGTTCTCAAAGTACAGCCCATGGACCACCAGGGGTCCCTGAAACCCTCTCAGGGGTCTATGAAGTTAAACCTATTTTCATACAAATATTAAGTCGTCGCTTTGGTCACTGTGCTGACACTTGCACTGATGGTACAAAAGAAATGGGAATGAAACTGCTACCACCAAACAATACACCTTTTTACTGTATTCTTCACCCCAAGCACTCAGAAAGGGGAAAAAAGTCAGCTTCACTTAAACCTGTCCTCAGTGAAGTGCTAAAAATTACTGACTTTATTAAAGCTTGCTCCTTGAATATACGTCTTTTTAATTCTCTGTGTGACAAAATGGAATGCCCACATATAGCACTTCTGCTGCCTGCCCAAGCACCACGGCCGTCTTGAGGAAAAACACTGGTGCAATTGCTGGAGCTGCAAACTGACCCAGCCATTTTCTACATGGAATGTCCAATGACAGACACATTGTGGTTATTCTCTCTTGGGTATTTGGCAGATATTCTCAAAAGTGAATGAAGTGAGCCTGTCATTGTCAGGAAAAGAACTGACAATATTTTTTGTCAATGATAAAATCTGAGCTTACAAACAAAAAAATTAGAATTCTGGAACACTTATATTTACCACCATGAGTCTGACAGCTTCCCAATACCTAAAGTAAATTCTGATGACACTGGTGATTATTAACAAATATGATTTTATATTGTAGAATAAAATGTGTTGATGTTTGAAAGATCAGGATAACTCAGCGAAACAATATATTTCAAATGATTTTTTCATGATGTTAAAAAGTATTCAGGGGTAGAAATACCCAATCAAAGTGAAAGACAGCACAATGGATTTTAGTATCGACATAACAGAACACAAAAGCTAACTGATTCGGTTTCAGATTCTATCAATACATTGCAACTAACGTTAAGAAATTACACCTTTAAATTTTGGTGTGATACCAAAAAATAGCCACAATTATCTGAAACGGTTACTTAAAAACTCTTCATTTTTCCAAGTGTGTATCTGTGTAAGGCCAGGTTTCCTTCCTATACATCAACCAAAACACATCATTAACAAATTGAATGCAGACAAAGATATGAGAATCCAGCTGCCTTCTATTAGTGAGACAGTAAAAAGATTTGTAAACGTGTAAATCAATGCCACCCTTGTCACTAAATTTTTTTTGCTTTGGAAAATAGTTATTTTTCATGAAATATGTTATTTGTGCTATATTATGTTTATTATTTTATATTTATATATTTACATTGAATATTTATTGTTAAATAAATATTAAATTTTATTAAATAAGCATATCTAAAATTTATTAGTTTAAATTTCCAATATGGTAACACTAATAGCTAAAACCCACATAAAAACTTACTGGGGCTCAAAATAATTTAAGACAGTAAAGGAGTCCTGAAATCAAAAAATTTAAGAACTGCTGGTTTAGATAACAGGCTTTAGATTTGGACATCTCCAGGTCCAAACCTCAGTGCTTCTCAATTGTGTGGACTTGAGCAAGATATTTAATTGCGGACTCTGTTTCCTCATCTGTAAAACGGAGGTTCAGAGGAAAAGGGCAATAATAAAAAGATTTCTGTAAGAAATAATACGTTTAACTTACCAAATACAGTGCTTAGTAACAAATACAGTGCTTAAGAAATGACTAAATGATTATGATCTTGAGGACTTCCAAAAAGCATCATCTAAGGATGAATTAATCGTAGGGTAGCTTGAGGCACACATATACGTGTTAAACCCCAGAGAAGACACTCACTGCACATTCCCCAGCATCTTCCTCCTTCTACAGATCTCCTCCTCTCCTTGCCAACTTGCACCTCCTGCCTGTCACCTCACGCCCATTCTTCTCATCTCCCCCACCGAGATACAGTGAAGCAAGCACCTTTCAGGACATCTATGACCTTGCACTCAGGATGAAAAGTAATTTTCCATCATAATAGGCAGTTTTACTCAAATGACCTACCTGCAAGGAGAGCGAGCCTACACCTCAGTTTCATGGACTAACATCCGCCAATCTATCCCAACCGCCAGCACCTCTGGAATCTTACCACCCCATATCCAAGACATCCCAACGCCCGTCTCCCAGTAGAGCACGGCCAAGTCAATGTGCTCTAACAGTGCTCAGCTCCCTTCAAGGGTATTTCAAGTCATTGCAAGGGCTTCGATTAGTCATAATCCAATTCTCCTCGACTGTTATAGTTCCTAAGAGTAAGTGAATGAGATTATTTCTAGTCCAATCCTTATTTCAATTTGGCTCCCCCCCAAAATTAATTATCTTTCTCACGAGACTGTTCCATTTATAGTTTTAGGCTGACCCTTTTGCTTGACAAAGCTGTAGCTTGGAATGTTACTTCAGCAAAGCCCCAGATTTTAACCTTGGAATGCAGGCATATGCCAAAAATAATTTTTTTTAAGAGAAGTAGATTTTAAATGTAATTCTTCCTTTTAATTTCGGCAAATCATAAACTCCTAGGTAACAGGGTCCTTTTAGACAGAGAAGGTAACATTCTCTGCATGGGTTTCCTTAGGGATATATTACACAACACTGTCCGATAATTATTACATTTACTATTATTTTCAACAAGCATAACAACAAATAACAGCTATCATATATTGAGAGTAATTACTATGTATTAAACCCTATATTAGGTCTTTCATAAGTTATCTCATTTAATCCTTACAACATTCCTATTAGATAAGTATTATTATCCTCATTTTATAGATGAGAAGTCAACTTAGGTCACATGATAAATACAGAGAGTTTATGTAACTTACTTAAGTCAAATAACTGATAAGGGGGCATGGCAAAAATATGAGCCAAGATCTCTCTTTCCCTAAGGAAAATGGGCACCCAATTACCTTTCTAATATGGTACCCCAAAGAGTGCAATAAAAATCTAAGGATTCCCTATGCAGCACCTTGCATTCCCAGAAATCCTCACTGTACTAATTGATTACTTTCACATTATTTAGTAATTCTTCAGAAGTTTTCCCAATCAAATACGGTCAAGCCAGTTAGTTTCCATCAAGAAAAGTCCAGTTCAGGTTTGGGTTTTCAGGACAAGCAAATCAGGTCAAAATCCTGGTGTGTGGTTTCACTCCGTATAAGGTTATGCCAATAATTGGTTTCAGACAATCAGACAATGCACTTCCATGAACTTTTGTGCTGCTAAAGCCAACGCTTTCCAAGTGTCTCACGTAGATAGTAGACAAGGGGAAACTTCAGCTGGTGAAGATGAAAGAAATGCAAGAATCTTTCAACATGCCTAGAGTATCCTAAACAACAAACCACTCCAACTGCTTGCAGATTTGCACTGGCTTCCACCCAACCAGACCTCTTCTACTCAGCCAACTTTATATTGGAAATGATCGCCTTGCCTTGGTATTTGATGGTCAATTTCACATTATTTCAGCAATGCTTAAAGAAATGCTTTCTGACAGTTTGTAGAAATCCTGGCTGCAGCTCATGCCACCATTTTCAGTCAAGAAGAAGTGCCAACAGTATGGGGTTGGACCCTACCAAATGGAATCTAGCTCCTGATCCACAAATATTGGAAAGTATTTGAATTTCCTAAGCTTTGGATGCCCAGCTATATTAAATCACCAACACTTTCACCCCCAATAGGCAAGCCTCATTGTTTTGATCCCAGAGTCCCGATTATCTTATTTCCTTTCAAGGAAAGAGCTGCCAGATTAGGCTAGATAAGAAAAAGAACATCGCATTTTGAACAAAACGTCTGGCTGGCTCTACAGCTGTAGACTTTGTGGAAGTCTCTCACCTTCTCTGGTCCTTAATTCTTTTAATTTGTAAAATGAGGGTCTAGGCAATCCTAAATTTCTCTTCCACTTCTATTTTCATGACACTCTGATCCACTGTTCTATAGCCCATTTTCTGGGACAAGGGTGATTATCAACCTTAGGTTAGAATCAGTTCATCTTCCAAATATTTCATTCTCAAGGTGCCAAACATGTGAAATTATCCTTAAGGAAATGAATATTCTCACCCAGGCTATGGAGCTATAAATTAACCTTGCATTTCTATGACTTAAAAAAGCTTATTCTGAAATAACTGCAGAAAATAACCATTTGAATGGCTTATGCCAAACATACTCAGAAGTAGAAGTAAACTGCTACTTAGGTAATTATTTTACAAAGACGCTGAAAAACAAAAATGTAATATATATGTAAAACTTCATTTCCAATAGACCTATCACAGGGGAAAATTCTAAAAGTTCTAAAGTCTACAGTCTTTCCCTTGCAAATCTCAAAGAATCAAAATCCAGAGGGGTTAAATGATTGCCAGATGTTAAACAGGCACTTTAGGAAGAATTGAAGCTATAAAATAAAATACTGACATCATTCTGCCTTAGAGAGAAACCATCTTATTTGAAGGTACTGTACAATTCTGATTATCTCAGGAGGGAGGGAGTATGTAATGAAGTTGTACTTGGCTTGAGGCAAAGCAACCATGCTGTTGTATGAAAAACTCTTCGAAATGCTTAGTGCAGAGATTCCCCAAACTTTACTTTCCAGTGTGGATTTAGATTTCATGGTCCTAAAATTTGGGGATGTAGGAAGAAGAGACTCAGAATGAAGTATCTAAATGCAAGGGGGTATGTCAAGTGACACCACTCCAGCTTCTGTCCCCTTCTGGCCAGGGAACTGAGAAAAGAATGAAGCAGCTTCAAGTAACCAGGTCAAAGACCTCCAGGGAAGGCTTCAAGATCTTCCAGGATCTCAGTCTACATGACTTGGGGGTTCCTGACTTCCCAGGGAATCACTATACACACACCATCACTGCATGCAAGCAGAGAACTTTACAATTAGTATGAACATCCCAAATCAAGGACTGTCTGTCCTGCTTCTGATTCTTGCACAGTGAGCAATTCAAGAACTAAAACAAAGGTTCCACCCATCTAAACCTCAGTCTCAACTTATAACGAACAGTAAGGAAGCTTAATTCTTTGAATATGATTCAGTCACTTTGTAAAGTGTCCAAAAGCTTTAGAGCTAAAATGTTCAGTGGGCACACTTACCCAATATGGTTGGTTCTTAAAGAAATTTCCAGTTCTCTTAGCACTTGTGTGGACTCTTGAACACGCCGTCTGAATTTCTATAATTCAAGAACACATACTCTCACGAAACATATTTTAGCAAGGGCTGTAACTGCAGCTTACTTGTAATAAGTTTAACAGAATATGAAAATATCTCTGCTTCTAAAGTGGGCTTCTCACACATTTCTTTTTGCAAAGCACACAAATTTTTCTCATCGTAACAGTCAGCTTATGTGAAAGGACTGGGGAAAATGACTTACTTCATATACTAAGTGTCTCTGAGTAAGTAGCTTATTTTTTTCCCTACCCCACAATACAACAATACTCACTGACATACCTATGCTGGGGTCCCAAAAATCACCCGTTTCAATGATGCGCTAGGGGCTCACAGGACTCAGCATACAGTTGTTCTTGCCGCTAGGATTTATTACATCAAAAAGATGCAAGATATAATCAGCTAAAGGGAAAAGGTGCGTGGGGTGAAGTCCAGAGGAAACCAGATACAAGCTTCCAAGAGGATTCGCCCATAGGAGTCATAAATGACAATATTCGTGAAATGCTGTCAACCAGGGAAGCTCATTACACACTTAGTGGCTGGGGATTTTACTGGCTCATCACTTGAGCACTCTCTGCCTAGCACATACCAAAAGTGCAGCCTCCCAAAAGGAAAACCGGCATTCCGCATAAACCATGTAGTTGGCATCAACAGTTTGGGCACAGTGAGTCATTATTATCAGGGAATTCTGGGAACTCTCCCGAAATCCAGGTCCCCAGTCGCCAACCAAGAGCCAAACTTGCAAGCAGGCCTCTCTAAGGTGGCAGTCTCATACCTACTATGCTTGTTCTTTTCTGCATGACCTCACATGGAAGGTCCCTCCTCTAGACACCTCCCTTCTACTTGAGGAATGTCCTTCCTCATTCCCCTGCCTATCAAAATGCCACGTGTCCTTCCAGAACTCCCTCAGGTCTCCCTTGCCCCAATGAATCCTCCTCTGATAGTAAATGTACTCATTTCTCTATCCTCTCGACTCCAAATAATCTCCAAGGGATCACTGGGTTGCACTGCACATGAGTTCTTTGGAACACAATTTCCTACAAAAATATTTCTTTACAGTCACTAAAGTCTTAGGCCAGTCTGGAAGAAGGCCATTTGATGTGCAATGCCTTCTGAGAGGCGTTCTATGCTCTCTGTGCTAGAGACCCAAACCACCTTCAGGTTACACTGTGTTCAGGAAAAGCCTTTGAGAATCCTGGCTCAGGATATTAGGGATCCTTCTCCTCTGCTCCCATGACTGCAGAAGGAACAGGGTCATCCAGCTCCAAAGACAAAGGCATCCAAGGACAGGAAGGACAGGAGGAAGGTTAGAAAGGAGGATTCCGGGATGTGGGGAAAGGAGAGCCCTGTCACAGGCAGGCCCGGGTGCCCCAGGGAAGACTGGACCCCTGCTCAACACTGACAGGTTCCTGCTACCCTCTTCCCTTCTGAAGACCCTTTACTTCTCCACCAGCTGCTTCTCACCAGAGCAAAAAGTCTCAGTTTCCCCGACTGCCACTCCTGAAGCACCCAAACACCTTCTCAGGTGTGTAGCATCCACGATATGTGAAATAAAAGCATCCCTGATGCCATGAAAAAAGAGAGCCACCCCCTCTTTTGTCAAGAAAGGCTTAAGAAACAACAAAGAGTCATCCATAGGTTGGAGGGACATCCAAGCCCAGTGCTTCCTAGAGAGCCTTCCGGCAATGAGGACTGCCAGTGAGGTAGGGTCTATGGCCACACAGCTGAGGAAACCATTTCCAGGTGTGCTGGATGCTCCAGAGGGGCCAGTCCCATGTCAGAGCCACAAGTCTTGGGCTGTCTGCACATGTGGCCTTTAGGAAACGACTCAGCATTCCTAGCTATGCATTATGCATAGTTCTGATTCGTTCCCTGCCGCCTGTGCTGGTTCCCTAACTGAGCCTTATGCTTCCTCAGGGCAAGGTCATCCCTCACATACACTGTGAGCTACAAGGGCACCCAGTGTAGCACGGAGGACCTAACAGCGTGAAAGAGGATCTGCTGAAGGACTAAGAGGCATGTATCAAAACAAAATAACTCAAAACACTGAGATAAGAGAGGCGACAACAATAGCAGATAACAGTTATTAGGCATTTACTACGAGGCACTACACTTTTGCAACTGCAGGAAAACTGAGGTAGAACTAAACTGACTTCGCCCTGTATTCTATTCTCTTGGCAACCGTTTGAATTTCAGCTGGTGGACTTTGGACCGCAGAGAAATCTTGGCATCCACTTCCCTAACACATAAACAACGGCTGCCAACACTCTGCACTCGTACAACGCACCCAGAATGCTTTAAAACACTTCAAAGGGAAATCGTGCGACTGTGGGAACCAGCAAACAAGAGCTGGGTACCACTTATTAGCAGCGTTCGCCCTTCCCCCAGCCCTCTCTGTACACGGCAGGCCCAGGGAGGAGCCCACGGAGACAGCTGAGCCCTGGAGACCTGTATAATAGGGTTTCTTTCACAACTGCAGGGCCCACAGAGGACCAGACTCCTTTTTTCATGGCCTGTCGCCTCTCCCTATGCCAGACATGAGCACATCCCCCCAAAGCACAGACTGAGAGCCTCCTGGTATTAAATAAGGAGACTGGTTTGGAGAGATATCTAATTTAGGCTCTTCCTTCCCTGCCCTACAGGGTTTCACATAAAACTACTTAGAAGAAAATCGAAATAGAAGATGCTTAAGAAATTTTTTAGAAGACAGCAAATTAAGTATCTTCAATTCAATGTGAACAAAAGATTAATGAATGAAGTGCTTGAGGACTCCAGACGCAGTTAAGGGTAAACTGCTCAGCTTAGACTGTCTGGCTAAAATGGAAAGCCTGATTGGAAAGCTCTTTCTCCCTGACTCTAATTCAGCTGAGAATCGTAAACTCATTTTAACTGCAAGCCATGCCTTACTCCAAGCAAAATCTCCTTTTTTCCAGGCTTTAAGCATGACAGTTATGGTGAGTGGAACAGATCATTTCCTACTGCCAGTTCCTGACAGAACTCTTACTAAAGCAGGGATGGTTGATCCAACATCCATTTTATTTTTTTTCTGAAAGCTGAATGACTGATCTTGAAATATGAGGCTCAGGCCAAACACGGCCATTCAGGTGAATACAATCGGCTAGGGCAGAGATTTCAGGAATGAAGGTCAGCCCAGACAGACATCCTTTGTCTTGGGCCTCTTTATGAAGTTATTTGCGAGGAAGCAAAACACTTTCTGAGCAGCTGATTTGTTGTTGTTTTTCATCTTACATTCCCAGGAATAATTGTTCCGAGGAAGAACTGGGACTGGGCCAGGAAGAATCCACCTCTTCTCTCCAACCATCTTCGTCCCCATGGGGCTTGAGGCTGGAGTCTAAGAAGCACTCTCTAGGAGTTTACGTATTTTCCTTTTTTAAAGAATTTGACAAATGTTGAGATAACTGTCAGGGGCTGGGACATTGAGTATACTCTCAGTCTTGTGTACGAATACGGCATTTCTGCCAGACTCAGCTCGGGGTGAGTGTGCCTAATCCTGGGTCTGGGCTGTCCAGCCAGAAGGTTTATGAGTTGGGGGATTTCTGAAAATATTTCTCATACAGAATCTTGCTGCCCCTGTGCAAAAGAAACAGTCTGTTTTTTTTTTTTTCTGGGTTGTGTTTTATGTATATGGGTATGCCTTCCTTTAACCCTCTCTAATGTGATGAAATTGAAAGGTGCTGTATCCTTGGGGAGGGGGACAAGAAAGAAACTAAGAATTAAGCAGCTGTCTCACTTAGCAGGCCTGACAGAAGCTCTTTTAAAAAAAGAAATGTGTGTGCCGTAATTATGAGGAGGGTATTAGGATACTTTGATAGGTACATTCTTAGAAGAGGAGGCTATGTCACATATGGCGCCTAGGCGACAGCAAAGGTCCACAATCCATTTGCATCATCACTCCTAGACTTTATTTCCGCCTGTCTGCATAGTAACTACAGGACAAAGGGCCAGGAAACGTCCAAAAGGAAATAATAGTTGTACTCCTTTACTTGATTTCTTTCGGCGGGGGGTGGGCACATTGTTTAGAATGTAAGCAGAAGATGCAGAAAAAGGAGCTTAAAAAATATATCTCAGAGCCAAGAGCCCTGGAAATAGGAGCTAACTAGGAAAACTGTGCCTTTCTGCTCTCATGAGTCACACGCTGAAACAACAGAGGGAATTCAGCTCAAGATATTTTCAGGGCAGCCTTGAAAGCAGGAGCTGTGGAAGGTCAACCGAAAAACAAGTGCTGTCTGGTGACTAGCCCTTTATCCATCTTGAGCAAGGGTGGCTCTGCCCTGAGACATCCCAGGACTGATCCAGGCCCCAGGGCTGTGCCAGGCTACATGCTTTACCACAAGGCATCAGTTTAAACCAATTGTGTGGCTGCACAAAGCAGGGCTTGTTTGTAAAAGGAGAGAGTCCGCTGAGAATGGAATCAGCTATTCTCTCCTTACCTTCTTGGGGCCAGGGGCACGGCTGGGGCGGGGGAAGCCGCTAAAAGCATCAACACAGGATGTGAGTGCACAGCTGGGATGACAAAGCCCCAGTGATTTTTCAAGGTCTCTGGAAATGCACCAAGGCATGAAAGACAAGTATTCCCTTTGCTAGGCCTGTTTTTCTGGGGGCCTGAACACCTCTGGACTGAACCTACTGCCCTGTGTAACTGCAAATGGCAGCAACTCAATAACCATCAGAGGTACATGACTCCCAACTCAGGAAAGTACTTTTAAACACATTCTCAAGCCAGGATGGCTTTTTTCTTTGTCTTTTCATGTTGTCCAGCTCCAACAACTCCAAGGTTGTTTTCCCAGAGGCTCTGTCTGGCAGAGGCAATAATGGAGAGGAAGGAAGGTCTCCTCCAGGGCAGGAGGATTCTGCCTGCTAATGAGGAAGCAACAACACAAAGTGGAAACAAATCCATCTTACCTTCCGGGTTACAGCTGGATCCAGATAGCCTTTGAGCTTTTGAATATAAGTATGGGGAGGGTTCTTCACCTGGAATCGTTCCTGCAGGAAGCATGAAAGTAAAGTAAAAGCATGAAAGCTCTGAAGGCATGACGGTCAGCCATATTCACACAGATTTATACTGCTGACCCAAAGCCAAAACGCATCTGCCGCACGACCATGGCCCTGCAAAGAGTCACTGGTTTTGAATCTTTACAGTAGATGTTCTTATCCCCTCCCTCTTTGCCTACAAGGAAACTGAAACTCAGAGCAGATCAGTTCTTCCCTAAGATGATGCAGCAAGTCAGGGGTACAAGTAGATTCAAACCCATGTTTGCCCAACTCTAGAGTCTGACCTGCTTTCTCGGTGGGGCTCTGCAGCTCTCTTTCTCAGAATAATGTTCTGCCCAACCTGTGTTCAGGGACCTCTTTTAGCAGGTCTTCCATCTACTGCATATTCTTTGAATATCTTCAGTGTTGGCAAATCTTTTTCTTTTGAATATTTATTTTATCTTTGAAAACACCAAAAATTTGTCTCAAACTAGATAAAACTAATTTGTTTCAAAAATGAGTCTACTGCTCAGAGACTGAGGTGAGTGTGTATTTGTGTGCATGTGTGTGACCATTAAAGTGTTCCTAAGGCAGTTTCCAAATCAGAAGACTTCAAAGTATTGTGAACAAAGGCACAATCATTGAAATAAGCATATTTATATATATATATATATAAACACATATATGCCAAGGTGATATTTGACTGTGGATCTGGGGTGGGGCCCATGAATCTGCATTTCTAACAAGTTTCATGCTGACAATGTGGATGGAGGGACCACACTTTGAGAAACTCATGCCCACGTGTATCAGGTTTTACAGACCATAATGTCCAACGCAGAATAAGCATTAGTAAGCTGGGCAAAATCCAAAGGCCCACACTATAGAATGGTAAGTACTATATTATAGTCATATAATGATATATGACATTCTGATAAAAAAGAACACACTGTATTGCATGGTTCTATGTGGATGGATTGTTGAGACAAAAAAGAACAAATGATTTCTTTCACAAAAGAGGCAAAATTAAATATTAACTGTTAGGGACACATATATAGGTGGTTTACACACACACACACACACACATATATAGGTGGTTTACACACACACACACACACACACACACACACACACACACACACGAGGTGGGGGAGATTTGCATTAAAATGATAGTCAAGGACCAAGGAGGGGGAAGGGAAATACAGATTGATCCTGGCTGGCAGTGTTCTTTTCTGACCCTAGAAGTAGTTACACAGATGTTGGTTTTATCTTACTTATTATGCTATTCTTAAGTTTCACAACCTTTCCTGTATATACACTATATTTAATACACCAAAAAAGTTTACATAAAGCAGCTCCAAAAGGAAAAAAAGATTTGTCATGAAATCAGGACAATTCTTATCAGGTACTCTTCTGCATACAACTCAAAAAATGTTTTCCTAGTAATTCTTTTTAACCTGATTATTGCTTATGCCAAAATGGAATTTTTTAGTATTTCCCAACACTGACAATTGGCCAGTATGTTAAGTGTTTGTTTATCCCATATAAATTTGTGTTTCTCCAATACAAGGAACCACAACATTCTTCCCAGTCCACTCAAGCCTTGCTCACTTACAGATTTAGAAATGCTTAAGATCATCTTACTATTATCAAAAGATCATCTTGTTAGTGAAAATATATATTTTATTATTGTTTAATACTACTCTAAAATAAAAGAAATTGGCTTAGAGTGAGACACCTATCAATACTTCCCCTTTAGTTAAAAATGATCATGGTAAATTTCATAGTATACAAACTATCTCTCAACGGAGCTGTTTTAAAAAAAGGTCAGCTTATTATTTCTAATTATTCCCCCCAATTTTCTATCCCACAAGCAATTTCTAATTAATGATTCACGCATATTCGACATCTCTGGCGCCATCACTGTGTCTATGAACCAAGTCCTAATTTTTTTAAACAAACACTATCACCTTACTAAGGGATCAGATAGGATGCAATGGCCACAGGGTTTTAGCAATAGCCCAGCTGAGGGCTCAAATAATCACAAAAAGTTCCCAAAAAAATGAACTGACAAGCTATCTAGAAACCAGTTACTATTTTGAGCCCTGTGTATGAAAACAGCTGATGCCAGAGATATATTGGCATATAAATAAAATGCTTTGTACGCGGGCCTCTCACTGCTGTGGCCTCTCCCATTGCGGAGCACAGACTCCGGACACGCATGCCCAGTGGCCATGGCTCACGGGCCCAGCCGCTCCACGGCATGTGGGATCTTCCCGGACCAGGGCACAAACCTGTGTCCCCTGCATCGGCAGGCAGACTTTCAACCACTGCGCCACCAGGGAAGCCCCAATTACCCCAGTTTTTAAAAATCCCATGACGGAGACAACTCACCCTGTGCTCCATTCTACTATAGCAAATACTACCTACCTCTAAATATAAAGTTCCTAACATATGAAACTCAATGAATTTTAACTGTGGCTAATGCAGCATTTGCTTGAGGACCTAAAATTTGAAATCTGTGGACAGTTACTGAGAGATTTCTAATGTTTGTTCTTGCAGGCAATGTCTTCACACCATAAGAGCCGTATTTATTCCTTTAAAAATAACAAAATTTAAGGAATTCCCTGGCAGTCCGAATTCCCTGGCAGTCCAGTGGTTAGGACTCCACGCTTCCACTGCTGGGGGACTGGGTTCGATCCCTGGTCAGGAAACTAAGATCCCGCAGGGCACATGGTGCAGCAAAAAATAAATACATAAATAAATAAAACAAAATGTCGCTGACTAGCATATATAACATATTGACATTCACTCAATTAGTAAAATCCCCCCCCCTTTTTTTTTTTTTTGCTGTACGCGGGCCTCTCACTGTTGTGGCCTCTCCCGTTGCGGAGCACAGGCTCCGGACACGCAGGCTCAGCGGCCATGGCTCACGGGCCCAGCCGCTCCACGGCATGTGGGATCTTTCCAGACCGGGGCACGAACCCATGTCCCCTGCAACGGCAGGCAGACTCTCAACCACTGTGCCACCAGGGAAGCCCTAAAATCCCATTTTTGACAGTCATAAATATAGCTTTCTCTGTTTCTTACTTAAGATTGTGGTCACCCAGAGGGGCTTTCTCAAATAGACACATTTGCTGGTCCTGCTGACTTGATTAATTTCCTTATAATTAATCCCTTGAAATTATGAACAAGGTCTAAATTTAATAAACTCACACTTTTTCAAATGTGCTTAGCATTTGCTGTTGTGTTTTAGGCATTTTTTCTTCATGTGTTTGAGTAACTTACTAGCATATTTCCAAAAAACAGAAAATGAAGAAAACTGATGCTTTAAAACACATCATACATCGTAGCTACTTCTCGAAAAACTGCACCTACCTCCAGGGATTCAAGTGAAACTCTTATGGAGGAAAAATACAAAGCCCCAACGATTTTCCTAAAACTTGGGGGTTGCTTGTCTAATCTCAAAAGGAGCTACTGTTTGAGTTATGAATCCAGCACCCGGCACACCAAACCTTTTCAGTCTGTCTGTCTTCAACATGGCCATTTGGACAACAGAAACATTTGGGGGAATACACTGGAGAATTCCAGCACCTTGCCAAAACACATTTATTTTGAAGAACTCTGGATGGATTACTGGCATTTTACTTATTTAAATTAATAACTTTTTCCTCTAAGTATTAGAATTTTAGATTTTTCACTGAAACCCAAAATTGCCTTGGCTGGCAGATTTCCATCATCCTCACTTCTGGGACCGCTTCATACTCCACGTGCTATTTTCAATAACTAGTTACCTGCTTGTCCAACATCACTGATAAGCATAGCTTAATTAGATTAAGCCCCTAACTTGAGTTAGGTTATACAGAAATATTGTTCTTAGGGATAAATCATGGTGATTTGTCAATAGCGATGGATAAGCCAACTGAAAGAGCTTTAAAAATACAAATTTCTGGGCTTCCCTGGTGGCGCAGTGGTTGAGAGTATGCCTGCCGATGCAGGGGACACAGGTTTGTGTCCCGGTCCAGGAAGATCCCACATGCTGCAGAGTGGCTGGGCCTGTGAGCCATGGCCGCTGAGCCTGCGCATCCGGAGCCTGTGCTCCGCAACGGGAGAGGCCACAACAGTGAGAGACCCGCGTACCGCAAAAAAAAATAAAATAAAATACAAATTTCGTTCAAACTATCTAATCATACAGCATCACCACCACTCTGACCTCTTGCCATTTATATCTTTGTGTGACCAAACTTTCTTCATGAAATGTTTCTGGATGAGAAATAAAAATGGCTCTGAGGGTTTCAATTGTTCTCCAAAAACATTCAAAGAACCAAGCCCAAAGCCATTTCTTAACATTCAGGACACTATGCTGACAAACTGCACTGAAAGAAGCGTGGGAGGAAAGAGAGGGGAGAACAGACCTTAAAATCTTCATGAAGCATCTGTGTCATTTGCAAACAGTTTAATAAATTAGTGTTAGGAATTCAATTTGTCTGGTAACGAACAGAAAACTTCTTCTCATTGCTAAAAGCGACTTAATTTATACAAGCCCAGGAGCACAATTACCCTTTCATCTGGGGCAGCACTTCTTGTTTCTCAAAGATTATTATCTTTTACTAACAGTTTAGCATATACTTTAGGCCCCTTAACTTACTCAAGCGTCCCTATCTGCCAAGTAGATGTTAAACTCCATTTTACAGATGAGGAAACTGAGGCTCAGAGTGTAAATGACTTGCCTTAAATCTCAAACACACACACATATACACACCGACACCCCCCCACCCCTGATCAAGGATTAAAGCTCAAGTTTTCTGACTCTCTAATCCTTGTTCTTTTCATTACACTATAATAAGTGTACTGATCTTGCTTTAGATAGAGTTTTTATTTTTTTAAACATCTTTATTGAAGTATAATTGCTTTAAATGGTGTGTTAGTTTCTGCTGTATAACAAAGTGAATCAGCTATACATATACATATACCCCCATATCTCCTCCCTCTTGCACCTCCCTCCCACCCTCCCT